AAAAAAAAAAAAAAAAAACCACAAGAGATTTCTGGGGCCAGCCCTGTGACCTAGCAGGTTAAGTTTGGTGCACTCCACTTCAGCAGCTGGAGTTTGGTTCCCTGGCACAGACCTGCAGCACTCGGTGGCGGCCATGCTGCGGCAGTAACCCACATACAAAACAGAGGAAGACTGGTACAGATGTTAGCTCAGGGCAAAATCTTCCTCAAGCAAAAAGAGGAAGATTGGCAATGGATATTAGCTCAGGGCGAATCTCCCTCAGCAAAAAGAAAAAAAAAAATCAAGAGATTTCTCATAAAAATCCTTATCTCTCCCTTCTCTTGAAAAGTCAGCAGAATTGGTAATACCTGAACAGCCCTTCTGTGTGGCAACGAGAGCTAGAGCTGCAGCCGTCCCAGACAGGGCATGTCCCCAGTCCTCCTGGTCCCCATCACCCCATCCCTTCAAAGCATGAGATTTCCCCATCACCAGGCCTGCTGCACACTGGCCCCCTGCCTTACCCTGTGAACATGAGTCGCTCCCCTTCCCCCCTAACCCCATTCTCTAACTCATCCTGAGCCGCATTCCACCCTGGCCTGCTCTGGAAGTGTCTACCCTCTTTCTTTCTGACACTCTTTCCTTCCTCAGCTTTCAAGGCCACACAAGCTACTGGTTCTCCTCCTAACTCTCCAACAGCTCTTTCTCCAGGCTTCCAGTCACCAAAAGGCCCGTCTCCTCGCCTCCATCAGTCCCACATCACCACGCCCCTCCCCAAACTCCATCAGAGAACAGCCCCACCTTCTGCTGCTTGGGCTTGATCTTGGCTGAGAGGTGCGGAATGTCATCGTAGGTCATCGAGGCTGGGCGCACAGGGTACTGAGAAGGGGAAGGGAGCCATCAGTCCATCCTGCCCAGACCTGGGCTCCGGGGGCTCCAGCCAAGAATCACCACAGCTGCCCCCGACCCCCACCCCCAACCCCAGCAGAGACCAGAGGCTCCACTAGGCTCCGCTGGTTGCCATTTGCACCCCATTCTCATTGGCTCCACCCAGCCGCCTTCCAAAGGGCAATTTTTAATGTCTTTGACTTCCAAAGGACATGCCTAAGCATCACAAACCCAGACAGGCCCCAGCACACATCACCCTTTGGGGTCTAGTAACCCAAGGCACTGCCATGGGAGTCGAGAGTGAGGGTGCAAGGTCTAACTACTAGTTAACAGGCCATCCGGGGAGACAAGGACAAGTGAAATGAGACCACAGGGAGCAAAGAGGAAAAAGAAGACTGGCAAAGTGTTGCTCAGTGCTGAAGCCAGATAATGGATATATGGGAACTCAGTATCCCATTCTCTCTCCTTCTGCTTATGTGTGAACTTTTCCATAATAAAAAGCTGAAGACGAAGAAGGAGCTGGTCTGCCACTGACCTGCTTAGAGAGCCCTCTCTGGGCCTCAGCATCGTCATGTGTGAAGGTATTTTTATGTCACACCTTAATGTACTGCCCTGAAATCACTTCTTTGCTCTGAACACACTGGGGACATCTTTCCACATCAGTCCTCACAGATGCACTTCTCCTTTCTTTCTCCCGCACCGTACGTATCTACTGGGTGGATGGATGGGTCACGGTTCAGACCCACTCTCAAAAAGCTGTGGCCATCGCCGCTGGCACCATCACAGCCTCTGGAAAGAGCCTGGTGGAGGCGCGGCAGTCAGTCATGGCAGTATATAAAGTAAACCCTCCTCTGGGGGCCATTTCAGATCAGCTACATGCCAGCGGGAGGAAATGGTTATTTCCTAAAAGCTCACTTAAACAGCAACACATTAACTCTTCCCTGCTTCCTGGGCTGCAGGTTGGGGCAGGAACTTGGAGCGAAAGTCCAGGAATAGCCTGGAGCTCAGCTGGTCTGAACCGAGCCTTTGAAAAAGGCCTGGGCTGAGACAGGCTCGCTCACAACAGCCCGGGAGGCCCCTGGTCTGCCAAGGTCCCAGTCAGCTCTCTGATCTCCTGATCTCGGGCTGGGAAGGGTGGTGGTGAAGAGCGCAGGTTCTGGAATGAGACAGGCCCGGGTTCTAATCCTAACTTTGCCACTTGCGATTTGTGTACTTGGGCAAGCTCCTCACCTCCTGGAGCAGGAGTGTCCTCACCTCACAGGGCCGCTGGAAGCAGGGGATGAGGTGAACAGAGGTGAAACCGGCACAGGGCCCAGCACACCATGAACACACAAGGGTCACTGCACCACCACCAGCTCCACCACCATTCTGCGGTCAGTCAAGGAACTAGGTTCAAAAGGCCCAAAGGACAGGCCTGCAGCCCCAAGGCCTGGAAAAGCAGACCCCAGAGGACAGACACCAGGCCTCTCCTCAGCTAGGAGCACCGTTTCTGCCGCTCTGTCCCAGGCCCCTTGCACAATTTACTAGCCTCCCTGTGCCTCATTTTCTCATATGCAACATGGGGACAAAAGTACTTGAAATAATAACCTTATTGTTGGGAATGTAAAATGGCGCAAAACAGCCTGTCAGTCCCTCAAAACCGTAAACAAAATGTTTCCATATGACCCAGCAATTCCACTCCTAGGTACATACCCAAGAGAAATGAAAACACACATCCACACAAAAACTTGTATGGGAATGGTCACAGCAACATTATTCATAATAGCCAAAAAGTGGAAACAATCCTAATACCCATCAACTGATGCATGGATAAACAAAATGTGGTGTGTGTGTATATATATATATCCATACAATGGAGCATTATTCATGCATAAAAGGAATGACACTAGACACTACAACACGGGTGACCCCGGAAAACATTATGCTAAGTAAAAGAAGCCAGACGCAGACCACATGTTACATGATTCCATTTATATGCAATGTCCAGACTAGGCAAATCCATAGAGACAAAATGGTTGATAGTTAATGGGTGCCCAGGGCTGCAGGTGGGAATAGGGGGCTAGGGGTGAGCAGCAAAAACAAAGTCCTAAAATAGATTGTGGTGCTGGTTGCACAACCCTGTGAACAGACTAAAATCCACTGCATTATACACCTAAATGGGGGAACTGAATGGTGTGTGAATTACATCTCAATAAAGCTGTTATAAAATGACAATAATAATAACCCCCATGGGTTACTATGGGATGAAGCGAGTCAACGGACGTAAAGTGCTTTAAGCAGTGCCTGCATACAGTCAGTGCTCAATGCCTGAGACCCACTAGGACAGCCACTGGCCCAGAAGGGAGGGGAGGGGGCAGGAATAACAATTCGGGGGAATCACAGTGGGCAGGACTGAGGGCTCATCGATGCTGCCAGCGCTGCCCTCTGAGACTCACTAACGACAGCGGCCATCATTCTCAGAGCCCGCTCTGTGCCATGCAGAGCTCTAAGTACTTTAATATGGACTCATCTAATCCCCATGGGGACCCTACAAGGCAGGTATTATTACCATAACCACTTTGCAAATGGGGAAATTGAGGCACAGAGATTAAGGAACTTGCCGAAGGGCTCACAGCTTAGTTGCGATGGAGCTGGGCCTCAATGCAGCAGTCTGTCCCCAGAGCCCTAGCTTTAACCACTACACTATCCTGCTGCTTAAGGCTGCGTTGGGTTTCCCATCTTTGAAACGGGAGGCCACTAGGGACCCGCCCACAAAAGCAAAGAGAACTGTCTTCTCACACTCTCTGCACCAAGAATTCTAAGCAAGGTTGAGGTTTCCCATAGTTCCTCACCCACCACTTACTGCAATCTCCACCACCCCACCAACACTTGCTTTCTCCCCCTTTAGCTTCAAGGCACATAATTACCTGAAACAGATAGAGCTTCTCTGCCAGACTTTTGGCCAAGTACACGTCGATCTGGGGACAAGGGAAGAAGACTTAACCAGAAGACAGAACCCAGTGCCCGACCTGTCCTGGCACACGCATGTGCCTCCAATTTTAGGTAAGGGGTAGGGGCCCCAAAAGGCAGTTTGGCGGTGGAGGGGACAGCTCAGCTGATGCTAAAAACAAAGGCAACCAAGTCTCCAGTCTGCATATATCCAGGGCCCCCTATCCAAGTTCACTATAACCCAATAACAATGCCTCTCCCCTGGGGCTGCCCAGATCAGGATGCATCCTAAAGCCAGAGGAAATGGCTGATGAGGATTTTCTGATGAGGATGGGGCAGGGGAGAGCTTACCCACCTGCCGGTGCCCTCCACCACCTGTCCTGGATCAGTCTGTCACCCTGTCTTAGGCGGTGTGCAAGCCCCTCCGAGACTGACCTGGCCCTACTCTCTTTCTTCTCAACACTCAGCACCCCCTGCCCCACTGTGCAGAAGTTTACCTTCCTGCTTCCCAGCTCTTCCTATGAACCATGTTCTCTCCCACCTCCAGGCCTTAAGGATGAAGGGTCAGGGTCGTCAGGCACAGGTGAGGTATGTGTGAAGGGAATTCTAGGTGGAGGGAACAGCATGTGCAAAGGCCCAGAGGCTCTAGGATGTGTCCTGATCTGGAACCCACCTCCCCACCATCTGCACCCTGAGACTCCTTCCTTGTCAGTCTTACCCAACAGATCCTAAGCTCCCCAAGGGCAGGAACACTGCCTCACTCACTGTTGTCACAGCCCCTGGCACACAGTGGATCCAGTGAACAACTGCTGAATGACTGAATCTGGGTAAGCCCAGGAAGAAGTGGGAGTTGGCAAACACACTCATTCATTCAACAAATGGTCACTGAGTAACTATTAAGTGCTAGGCACTGAACTTGGCTTTGCAGACACAGTGATGAACAGAACAAAACTTGCATTCTAGTGGAAGGAGACTTGTGTCTAGGGGCTGATGAGTGCTGTGGCCCAGTGCGAGGCATGGCCAAGGTAAGGGGCTAGGGAGTGCTGGGGAGGGCGTGTCGGGGAACAGCCCAGGAGGCAGGGTGATCAGAGAAGCCTTGCTGACAGCATGACGCTGGATCAAAGACCAAAGGCAGTGAGAAGGTCAGCCAGGCAGGTATCTGGGAAAAGAGGGTTCCAGGTGGAGGGGATGCCAACAGATCCCAGGCTGACTGAGGACGGAAGAAAGGGGCTCGGCCCCACTGCCTACAGCCCTGGGCCAGGGCGCTTCTCCCTGACAGCCCGAGCAGAGGTGGGGGAGCAGCAGTTACCTCCTGTACGACTGGGTCATCCTCTTCATTGGCCATACTAGGGGGGAGCCAGCCACGCAGTCCTCGGACTTGATCTGCAAGGGACAGCGAGAAGCCTGGACCATCAGTCAGTCATTCAGCCAATAATTCTGGGGTCCCTATTCTGCAAAAGGCCCTGCTTTGGGAGGCAGGAGCCCAAGACAAACAGAAATTCATCTTATTTCTACATCTATCGTGGAGTCAAAAATACTCAGCCCACCATATACCCCATGGGCAAAAAAAAAAGAGAGAGAGAAACAACCAAGCAATGGGTACAAACAGGTGGACTCAAGTCACCACATCAGCTGCACCTGGGGGAAAGAGTAAATGACTGGTTTTAAGTGTTTTCTGACCACTCACAAAGAAGAATTCACCGCCAGGCAGGAAGGAGGCTGGCGGGTCCACAGCCACAATGAAAACACTTGAGAACTAACTGGGGGCCATGGGGAAGCTTTAAAGACTCCAGCGTCCAAGAGGACGAGCAGACGGTCCCATGGCTTTCCAGGCTGTCTCTGTCTCTGATACTTGATTTTCAAGCTGACCTGAAGCCCAACCCAGAGTGAGATGCTTCTCCTCTGTGTGTGTGTGTGTGTGTGCGTGTGTGTGTGTGCACGTGTGTATGTGTATGTGTCTGAAAATGACCCTCTTTACATACTTTTCTCTAATGTGTCCCACACAACCCTGTGAGTGGCTTGATTGTCCCCACTTTATAATGAGGAGACTGGAACTCAGAGGCACTTGACATGTCCTACCCAAAGCCACACAGCAAGTGAGAGGACCCGCTGGACTTCAAAGCCAGGCCATCAGACTTCAGGCAGCAGGTACAGGTAGGGGAGTTCAGAAGAGGGAAGGGAAGGGGTCAGGCGGGGCGTTTGGGCTGGGCCTTGAAGGGTTAGGACAAGCCACGAGAGCAGAGGGGAGGAGGGATTTCAGGTGACAGGAAGCACTCAAGCACCTGGAGGAGGGAAGGCTGCAGGTCTCCACGGCGGAGGGGAACTAATTCAGCTGGGCTGACCCTTCCTTAGAAAGGCACCTGGGCACCCTAAGATCTCAGCAGTCCCCAGACCTCTACTTTCGAGTAAGACCATCACGACTTTTATCTTATCTACTTAACATTTGAGCTATTTAATATTTAAATATTCCTTCACCATGGGTGGGATTCAATGTCATCTAAGCCCCCTGCCCGTGCACCACCACCTGAAATCACCTCACTTACTCCAGATACACATTCCAAACTCAGACTGCTCAGGCCGAAATGCTGGCCTCATCCTTGATGCTTCTCCTCCTCTCATCCCACACCAGCAAATCCCGTCAGTTCTCTCTTCAGAGGATGTCTGGAATCTGGCCCCTTCACCACCACCGCCCCAGACCAGCCAGCTCCATATCTTACCTGCATTACAGCAACAGCCTCCTAACTGGTCTCCCTGCTTCCACCCTTGCCCGCTACGATCTTGGCTCAACCCCACAGCCAGTGATCCTTTGGAAAGCCACGTCAGATCACGTCACTCCTAGATCTTCAAAGGCCTCCCTCCCATCTCATTCTGAATAAAAGCCAAAGTCTTTACGACCCACCCCCACCCCCGCCATCCCCCTGGCCCCTTTACCTCTCAGACCTCTCAGACCTCATCTCCCACGGGCCTCCTTCCCTCTTCTCTCTCTCCTCCCCCCTCCCACCCCACCTCTGGGCCTCGGTAACTGGTCTACCCTCCGGTCACCTCAGGATCCCTCCTCCTCTTTCTGGTTTTTTTTGGTTTTTTTTAATAATTTATTTATTTATTTTTCCCCCCAAAGCCCTAGTACATACTTGTATGTCACAGGTGCACATCCTTCTAGTTGCTCTATGTGGGATGCGGCCTCAGCATGGCCGGAGAAGCGGTGCATTGGTACGCGCCCGGGATCCGAACCCCGGCCGCCAGCAGCAGAGCGCGCGCGCACTTAACCGCTAAGCCACGGGGCCGGCCCATCTCTTCCCGGTTTTTGCTCAAATGTCACCTCATCGCTAAGACCTTCCCTGTCCAACTAATTCAAAACTGCACCCCGCCCCACCAACTCCCTTCCCTGCTCTGGCTTTCTCCATAGCACCTATCACCATGTGACCGTTTATAGCTCTGTGTTTATTATCTGTCCCCAGCCCCACTGCCACTAAGTTGGAAGTGCCTACAGGAAGGCAGAGATTAGCATCTATTTGGTCCCTTGCTGTACCCCCAGTGCCTAGCACACAGCAGGCACTCACCACATATTTGTTGTCTGAAAATATGAATCACAGGAATGCTATTTAATAGGGAGCTACCAAAGGATTCTGAGTAGAGGAAAATCTGGAGGGGATAAAAAGACAGACTAGAGGGAAGCAAGCCACCGCGACAGTAAGGAGATGGAAGACTGGGTGAAATCAGAAGCCCCAAATGGACAGTTTTAGGTGGCTTCTAAGCCCCAGACAGAAGGTGACGGATGGGAGAGCCCAAGACCCCACCCCTTCTGCACTGCCTGCCAAGACCACAGATGTACGTCAAGCACCTACCTTCTCTACGGCTGGCTCTGTGCACAACTGAGAGACTGGGGCCTTCCAGGTGAGCCAGGGAACAGATCATATGTACTAAGAGGGTGCGGCCTGGGAGGTTCCCAAGATGCAACTATTCTCCCAGAGACAGGCATTCCGGCTGTTGTGCTCTGCTGGCCTCTCCCAGTCACGGAGGCGCTCAGGGAGGATGAGGTACCTTGAGCTGGAGCCCCTCCCTCTGGATAGTACATCTGATTGGGTTAAGGCAGGGGTTAACACCTCGCTTCATCCTCCCACCCAACATCAGCCAACTCAGTGGCTTCCAAAGTTTTCAGCCTAAGACCCACAGCAAGAAGTCCATTTCACATAAACAACCCAGAACATACAACAATTATGTAACTAAAACAAGGTTTCACACAGCCATGATTGTCTCTACTACATGTGATGCAGCGACGTTTTCTACTCTTGCTCGTTAAAATTAAAAATGCTGGTTACAATCCCAAGCTGATTTCACATCCCACTAATAAATCTCAACCTGCAATTTGAAAGGTACTGCACCACAAGTCTCTCTGCAGCCCCTCTCCCACCTCCAATCCTTTCAGAAACAGCCAAGAGTTGTTCTTGTAAAAAAGTAAATCACATCATGCCCCTGCTCAAAACCTTTCAACTGTCATATACAATAAAATCCAAACTCCCTTCCATGGCCCCAAGGCCCTACGTGATCTTGCCCCGCTTTACCTCACCATCCACTTGGCCAGGTGGCCACTTGCTGGGCCTCCAACAGGCGAAGCCCCAGCCTGCCTCAGGACCTTTGCACAACATCTATTTTCCCCAGGTCTTTTCAAGGCTGGCTCCTTTTCATTAGCTATCACCACCACCCCCTCCAGGAGGAGACAGATTCCTTGATCACCCCATCTTAAAGAGCCCCCACCCACTCACAACCCCTTCCCAGTCACTACCACATCTCCCGATTTTATTTCCTTCGTGGTTCTTATCACAATCTGAAACTATCTAGTCTGTTTGCTTATGTGTTGTCTATCTTCTGCACTAGAAGTAAGCTCTGTGAGCGTCTCTCGGTGCTTCAGTATCCTCACCATAAAGTGGAGATAACTACTCTTATTTCATCAAGTTGTTATGGGGATTATCATCTCTTTTTTTTCAAACTCACGCTATGTTCCCATACCTAAAACAGTGCCTGGCATGAAGCAGACACTCAATATAGTGCAAAGAATAACTGAGTGAATGAGTGTCTAAAATCAGGAGGTCACAGAACCTCAACACAGTGAGCCTAACTCAGCCCCATCCAGAGACCGGGGGCCTCATAGTTTGGGCCACATGGACACTTCAGAACAGACAGGGGCTGTGGCGCAGGCCAGAGCAGGCCTCCCAGCCACCACGAGCCAAGCTCTTCTGATAGCAATGACCACCTTGGCCTCAACAGGGGTCCTGTGGCCACAAGGCTACTCTGTGGCAGCGGCTCCGTGGCCCTAGGCACAGGAAACTTCCCTCAACAGGGAGCTGCTCAACAAATGGAAAGGAGACAAGCACACCAGGTGGAGCTAAGGAGGGGTCCAGAGCAGGGGACGCCACAGTTGGGTGCATCCATGCCGCCCCCAGGAATCTAACCTGTCAGTCAATCAGAAAAGCAGAGGCAACTCCAAACGATCTCCAGCTGTTGGAGGGAGTGAGGCAGGTCTGAGAGGACAAAATACAACGGAGTTAAGGGGAGAAGTCCCCAGGGCAAATGGTCTCAAGGCCTGGCTTCTAATTGGCTGTGTACCCCTAGGACAAGGCATTTCCCCTCGCTGGGTCACCTCAGTTTCCACCTCTGTTAAAGGAAGACTTGGCCTAGGGGACAAGAAGAACTAATTAACCCTTAAGTGAGTGTCAGATCCTTCTCTATGGATTTCACATACATTCTCATTAAATCTTCTCAATAGCCCTATAAATCAAGATTTATCATCCCTAATTAAGAAACGAGGAAACTAAAGTTCAAAGAGTAAGTAGCTTGCCCAAGGTCACAGTGCTAGAGAATGGCAAGCCAGAACCCCCGGTCTAGCCGTCAAAGATCCTTATTCTCATTCTTAACCACTATGCTGCACATGTTCCTAATAAAAGGCAGTATGGTATAGTGGGTAAAAGCCTGGACTCCAGAGCAGAACTGCAGAGGTTCAAATCCCCTGTCTGCTACTCACCATCTGTGGCCCACTCGGAACTGTCTGATGCTGGTTATCCTTCACTGTTTTCATCCCTAAAAAGGGAATAATAAAAGTATCGACCCCCAGAGGACTGTGGTGAGGATTAACCACGACGATAAATGTAACCTGTGGGAGGATTTGTTATTACTTGGCAACATATTTTCTTTTCCTCTAAGAGGGTATGAGATTTAGCCAGAAATCAAATGCTGCCAGCTGGAGCTTCTCCTGTCTTAGCCGATTTAGCCCTCACCACAACCCTATGAGGTAGGAAATTCTACTATCCCCATTTCACAGATGAAGAAACCGTGGCGTCTGCTAAGATCTCCTCTTCCTGCCCCCAAGACCAACGATTCTAAAGCTAACATAACAGAACGACCTTGTTTATTGACTGCTTTACTTGACGTGCTTACTGACCCCTCCTCCGACCAAATGGTTAGGGTCGTATCCGCGGCAGTGTTGGCTCCCAATGATCACTGAATGGTGACTTCATTAAATGAATCAGGAATCCCGGGCCCAGCCGGGCGGAGGCTGATCTGGTTCAGCGGCGAGGAGGGGGCCCAGGCAGGCTCGGGTACCCTCCACCTGCCCATCAGGGCGGGCCGCCGGCCCCGAGCCACATTGTCCAATGGGTTTCGCCTCCCTCGCGGGTGGGCAGGCCCCCTTCTCACGCCCACCACGCAGCCATCGCCACAAGCCTCCACGCCAACTGGACGCCGGATGCCTTGGGACAGGTGCTCCTGCAGGAGGCCCATCTGGGCCGGGCGGGGCACGGCGGCTGGACCCTGAGTCACGACCGCCGGCAGCCTCCGCTGCGGCCCCCACGACTCCCGGGCCGGGCCCAGGTCGGAGCCCGCGGCCGGCCGGGGTCTACTGGGGCAGGCTGCCCATCCTTCCCGCCCGGCCCCGGAGGCCCCCAGTCCCTGGGCACGGCGCGGCGCGGGCCTCCCGGCCTACTCGGCAGCCCAGCCCGGGCCCACCTCGTGAGTGCGGCCCGGCTCAAGCCCGGGCGGGGGCTGTCAACTCGGCACTCACCTCTCCGCGGGGCCCGCGCGCGGGCGGCGGCAACGGCCCAGGTACCCGCGGGCTGCAGAGGCGGCGGCGGCCCGGCTCTCCTCTCAGGCAGCGGCCATGTTGCTGCTGGAGAAACTCCGGCGGACACGTGGGGGGAGCCGCGCCGGCCCTCGCGCTTCCTTTTACCCACAATGCCCCGCCCCGGCCCTCGCGGCCCGCCCCCTCCGCCGCTCCATTCATGGGGCCCGCCAGCCCGGCCCGGCAGGGGGCGCCCATGCACCGGCAAAACAGAGCCGAAAACAGCCGGGTGCCAAGGCAACAGCGACAAAAGAAGCTAGCATTGGCAGCGGTGGGATTCGAACCCACGCCCCCGAAGAGACTGGAGCCTTAATCCAGCGCCTTAGACCGCTCGGCCACGCTACCTCGCTGACGAGGCAGCCTTCCAGGCAACTATTTAATGGCATTACATGCACTTGCAGTGCATTTTTTTTCCTGGAGTTTCTTTGTTTAATATGTGTTTTATTTGAGCTTGATAGAACTATTTAGAACATGCCATGTATTTTTTTTAAAATGTTTGCTCCAATATTTAGACCCAGGCTTGTTCCAAATAGGTTTTAAAGCGAAGAGCAGTTGAATCTGTATTCTGAGTCGGGTGTTTACCTCGGAGACCTCAGGTTAACCCACTCTACTGGGGGTTATGTATCTTCCCAGAAATGATGGATTCTGGAAGTAACCCGCACCAGGGGATCCCAAGGACAAACCAGGGGAGCTGGTCTCGGCAGTTTTTCTGAAAAACTATGTTTTAATTTTTAGTTACACAAATAATACGTGAAATTTTGCAAAATATTAAAACTTTGCAGACAAGGCACAAATGCTCTTCTACCTTTGACCCCCATCCTAAGTTCCCTCAGTAGAAGTAACCATTATTATCAGCTTGGTATACATCCTTCTGGATCTTTTGCTGTGAATTTATATGGATATATTGGCATGGGTATATGCATCCATAGAAAATAGAGGTTTTGTTTTTATTGGTGTGGATTTTTACATAAATATTATCATGCTTAGTATTGATCTGCAATTGGCTATTTTTTACCCGACTATATATTTTAAATATCTATCCATGTTGACGTATATGGATATTTAAAAATACTGAAAAACAAAGAAAAAATAATCATCCATATTCCCACCACCTAATATTGTGTCATTTCACTTCAAATCCTTTTCTTAACGTATATACGTTTTGTTAAAAGTTACACAGGTAATGGTATGAATATGTTGTCCTTTTAAAAATCCATTTAAAAATAATTAAACCATTACAAATGAAAATAAATCCCCCTTCCCAAACATCCTCCCTGGCTATAACTGTTATCATGCATTTGATGTGTATCCTTCCAATCCATCTCTTATACTTTCACATCTATACATGAATTTGTGTGTGTGTCTTCAATATATTTTTCACTTATATAAACATTACTCCATCGTATCAATATCATTCTGCAACTTGCCTTTCTACTCCTTTTGAGGTTATTATGACACATATAGATCTAATTTATTCCATGCTATGAATATGTACATTTAAGTTCTTTATATTAAGTTAAATTGTTATATTCAAGTTTCTGGTTAATATCCAGTTGACACACCCTAACATTTGGGCATTCCATATTTTTCCTTCTCTTCAATTCCTCTTGAACCAAGTTTTCCTCCATTTACCTTTAACAAAAGTATCAATATGAAAAGATTTCATTGAACTAGGAGAGTTTGTTGCTTTTAAAGGAAATTTTTAAAAATACAGAAGCAGCCATCTATTGAGGACACAGACCAAGCATTGAAGGGGATTCAAAACTAAATGAGGAACAGTTCTTGAGATCAATAGAAACATTGATCTAGTCATGGGGTTTTAGTACCAGGAGGGAGTGTATTTGTTTGTGAGTTGTGTGCAGTATTTTCCAAAAGGAAGTATCCCCATGGTGAAGAAAAATTGCTGGAATCTGCCTAATCCCACTTTTCTAGGAATTGCTTGACCAGCCCAGAGAATGGGTCCCCGGCAGCCACCTTTGTGCTGTGCATTCCTGCCCCACACCATGGCCAGTGGGCTCTGTGGTAGACATAGGACTCAGGTCAGATCAATCAGATTCTCTTTTGAGAATCTGAACTGAGACGTGGTGACTTTCTGAGTTGTTAATTTGACTGTTTTAAGTGTTGGAATTAGTTGTGTTTCAGGTTGTTGGAATTAGTCTCTGATACTGACTGGATCTAGAGAGAAAGGGGGATTTGGGGTGGCCATACTCTGTGAGATGGATTGGAGAAGTAGAGAAAGCCAGTGCATGGAAAAAGAAAGAAGGATCGAATGAGACGAGCAGAGTCACAGAAAAATCCTAATGGTTTTCTGGCTGCCAGCTCAAGACCGTTCCCAGGGTCCAGTGGGACTCACATTCTTAGAGACATCCCTTTATCATTGTAATAAATTCCCCTTTTCTGCTAAAGCTAGTGCTACCTGGGAGGTGTCAACTGTAACCAATAAACACCCCTTGCATGGTAAGGGCTCAAATGAAGCTAGTGATATTTCTGCCAGAACATTCTGGAGCAATTCAGGTCTGTCCCTACTAGTACATACTGAAGGGGATACTTAACAGGGAGCCCGCAAGGATTCAGGCTGATTCTGGAAGGCAGAGCCTAGGGCCTCCTTTTGGGAGTGTCTTGCAGTCTTGCAGCCCCATTCCACAGTTGTCTTATGATATATGACAATCAGATATGAAGCTATGAAACTAGTAAGTAGGAGAAGCAGAATGTTGCATCAGAACTCTTGGACCCACAGCTTTAGCTCGGGGGAGGGAGGGAAAGGCTGAAACCCTGATTATCCCTTGGTGTGTCTACTTCTCTGTACACCACCCCCACCCCGACCTGCACTATGGTGGGCAAGCACCACAGATCAAAACTGCCCACTTGTCCCCCACCCCCAATCTAGGGGCTGTCAGGTGAAGGGTGTCTGTCTCTATATCATAAGCCCTCAGCTGTGGGCAGTGAGGGTGGGCATGGAGGCTCAGTCCTGGATCCCCACCATTCTTCACTCCCTTGCCCCTGCAATAGGAAAATTATCCCAAACCTGGTCCAAGACCAAACCTTTCCACATGAACCTCCTTCTGGAAAGAAATTAACATTCCTGATAAAATGCTTAAGCATTCTTATGAAATCTAATAACATTGAGATTTGTACTGGGAAACTAGTTTTCTTCCCTCCCAGTTGACTGTCATTTGTCAGTCAAGAACCTAGTGAATTTTAACTGAACATTCTTTACTTTTCTTTTTTATTTAATCCTTCTGTTGTCCTATAAAATGTCCCTATTAGGACAGAGGTCAGAAGAGTGGTCATCCTTGTGTGGGGTGGGGTGAGTGAGGGTGTATTGTCTGGGAAGGGGCCTGAGGGAGCTTTCTGGGGTGCTGCAAATGTTCGAAAATTCATCAAGCTGTACATTTAAGATTGTGCAATTTACTCTATGTAAAAGATATATTTTTTGAAAATATCCCTACCAAGTATGGATCTTTGAATTAACCTCTCAGAGGGTTTATACTTGCAGCAAGACTGTAATAAAATTTTGATATACGCTTGCAACAAAACCATCACGAAAGTTTTAACACTTCCCTCTAATCTTCAGGGCCCTCTTCCTCTTCCTCTGCAAAGGCAATACTCTCTCTGGATGGGAATCTGTCGTTTTTGCCTTCCCAGAATCCTTTCCCCCATTTTCTGGTTCCAATATTGATTTTCCTTGGGGAAAACACTCCTCCCTGTGGTCTTGGAGGAACTGTCAATCAAAGTGGTAAGGGGGCGGGGACAAGACCCAAATTAGGCCAATCAGAGAATTTATCCTAGAAATCTGAATCTGGACACCAGTAAAGATTTAGCTCAACAGCGGGGCGTGAAGTGAACTTCCGGGCTATTACCTTCTGCTTCCTAGATCTCCCCACTTGCCCTGCACCTCTCTTTCTGAGGCCTGCTTCTTTCAGTTTTACCCTCCATTCTGTAAGCCGCTTCCTTCCAAAAAAATTGCTTCTTTGCTAAAGTTAGCCTGCGTTGATTTGTTAGTGCAACCAAGGAACCCACGTGATCACCTAGGCCTCCCAAAAAAGAACTTTGTATTTGCAGAGATGCATTTTAGTTGTGTCCAGAGCACACACCCTTAGCAGGGCGACCAGAGCACTTTTTCTTGGAACAAATGCTGCATTGGAAGGAGAACTGGGACACGGGCGTGAACTAGGACTCTCCCTGGAAAACTGGGATGTGCCGTCATCCTACACCTTGACAACTCAAAGGTCCATCCAAGTTGACAGACTGGAGTGAGATTTTCTGTGTTGAGTCAAATTAAGCCACAGACTCCACTACTGGTGGCACCCTTCCATCAATACCTTTAAATTTCAGCTTTGCAAACCCTCTCCTGGTGTCCCAGGAAGGTGCTGGTAGGTCATGGGAATAACACAGCAGCATTATCAGTTGGCATTGTTTATGTTGGAACTATGATGATATCTGATCTTCAAACCTCCAAGTTTCCTTCTTAATTAATGAAAACATTCTTGGTAAATGCTTTCGCTATGGGATCCCTTTAAGCCTCACTTTCTCATCTGTAATATGGTCACTATAATACTGAGGTTTGTTGTAGGGTTGGAGATAACTGTATATACCCAACCCAACTGATACACTATATATCATTGTTTCTAAGACACATTTTTTTTCACATTTTAATATCTCTAAAATTGACCTGCATCTTATGATCAATGGCATGTAGTTTATTTTTAGTGTCTTTTTAATACATAAAATAATGATGCACCTTAAAATCAATGGTGTCTTAGATTCAATAAAATATAGTAGTAGGGGTTTGTGGGGAGAGAGGGAGAATCCCCCTCTGCCCTTTCCCTTAAGGTTCTTATGGCTGGCCAAATAATCAACAAGACAGGTTAGCAGGAGAAAATAATACCAAGTTTA